GCTGGAGGTGTATATAGATAGGTATGACTGGAGGTGTATATTGATAGGTATGGCTGGAGGTGTATATAGATAGGTATGACTGGAGGTGTATATTGATAGGTATGTCTGGAGGTGGAGGTGTATATAGATAGGTATGGCTGGAGGTGTATATTGATAGGTATGTCTGGAGGTGGAGGTGTATATAGATAGGTATGACTGGAGGTGTATATTGATAGGTATGACTGGAGGTGTATATAGATAGGTATGACTGGAGGTGTATATAGATAGGTATGTCTGGAGGTGGAGGTGTATATAGATAGGTATGGCTGGAGGTGTATATTGATAGGTATGTCTGGAGGTGGAGGTGTATATAGATAGGTATGACTGGAGGTGTATATTGATAGGTATGACTGGAGGTGTATATTGATAGGTATGACTGGAGGTGTATATTGATAGGTATGGCTGGAGGTGTATATTGATAGGTATGGCTGGAGGTGGAGGTGTATATAAATAGGTATGACTGGAGGTGTATATTGATAGGTATGGCTGGAGGTGGAGGTGTATATAGATAGGTATGACTGGAGGTGTATATAGATAGGTATGGCTGGAGGTGTATATTGATAGGTATGGCTGGAGGTGGAGGTGTATATAGATAGGTATGACTGGAGGTGTATATAGATAGGTATGACTGGAGGTGTATATTGATAGGTATGGCTGGAGGTGGAGGTGTATATAGATAGGTATGGCTGGAGGTGTATATTGATAGGTATGTCTGGAGGTGGAGGTGTATATAGATAGGTATGACTGGAGGTGTATATTGATAGGTATGTCTGGAGGTGGAGGTGTATATAGATAGGTATGACTGGAGGTGTATATTGATAGGTATGACTGGAGGTGTATATAGATAGGTATGGCTGGAGGTGTATATAGATAGGTATGGCTGGAGGTGTATATAGATAGGTATGACTGGAGGTGTATATTGATAGGTATGACTGGAGGTGGAGGTGTATATAGATAGGTATGACTGGAGGTGTATATAGATAGGTATGACTGGAGGTGTATATAGATAGGTATGACTGGAGGTGTATATTGATAGGTATGGCTGGAGGTGTATATAGATAGGTATGACTGGAGGTGTATATTGATAGGTATGACTGGAGGTGTATATTGATAGGTATGGCTGGAGGTGTATATAGATAGGTATGGCTGGAGGTGTATATAGATAGGTATGACTGGAGGTGTATATAGATAGGTATGACTGGAGGTGTATATTGATAGGTATGGCTGGAGGTGTATATAGATAGGTATGACTGGAGGTGTATATTGATAGGTATGTCTGGAGGTGGAGGTGTATATAGATAGGTATGGCTGGAGGTGTATATTGATAGGTATGTCTGGAGGTGGAGGTGTATATAGATAGGTATGACTGGAGGTGTATATTGATAGGTATGACTGGAGGTGGAGGTGTATATAGATAGGTATGACTGGAGGTGTATATAGATAGGTATGACTGGAGGTGTATATAGATAGGTATGACTGGAGGTGTATATTGATAGGTATGGCTGGAGGTGTATATAGATAGGTATGACTGGAGGTGTATATTGATAGGTATGACTGGAGGTGTATATTGATAGGTATGGCTGGAGGTGTATATAGATAGGTATGGCTGGAGGTGTATATAGATAGGTATGACTGGAGGTGTATATTGATAGGTATGGCTGGAGGTGTATATAGATAGGTATGACTGGAGGTGTATATTGATAGGTATGTCTGGAGGTGGAGGTGTATATAAATAGGTATGGCTGGAGGTGTATATTGATAGGTATGTCTGGAGGTGGAGGTGTATATAGATAGGTATGACTGGAGGTGTATATTGATAGGTATGACTGGAGGTGTATATAGATAGGTATGACTGGAGGTGTATATAGATAGGTATGTCTGGAGGTGGAGGTGTATATAGATAGGTATGGCTGGAGGTGTATATTGATAGGTATGTCTGGAGGTGGAGGTGTATATAGATAGGTATGACTGGAGGTGTATATTGATAGGTATGACTGGAGGTGTATATTGATAGGTATGACTGGAGGTGTATATTGATAGGTATGGCTGGAGGTGTATATTGATAGGTATGGCTGGAGGTGGAGGTGTATATAAATAGGTATGACTGGAGGTGTATATTGATAGGTATGGCTGGAGGTGGAGGTGTATATAGATAGGTATGACTGGAGGTGTATATAGATAGGTATGGCTGGAGGTGTATATTGATAGGTATGGCTGGAGGTGGAGGTGTATATAGATAGGTATGACTGGAGGTGTATATAGATAGGTATGACTGGAGGTGTATATTGATAGGTATGACTGGAGGTGTATATTGATAGGTATGGCTGGAGGTGTATATTGATAGGTATGGCTGGAGGTGGAGGTGTATATAGATAGGTATGACTGGAGGTGTATATTGATAGGTATGGCTGGAGGTGGAGGTGTATATAGATAGGTATGACTGGAGGTGTATATAGATAGGTATGGCTGGAGGTGTATATTGATAGGTATGGCTGGAGGTGGAGGTGTATATAGATAGGTATGACTGGAGGTGTATATAGATAGGTATGACTGGAGGTGTATATAGATAGGTATGGCTGGAGGTGTATATAGATAGGTATGACTGGAGGTGTATATTGATAGGTATGGCTGGAGGTGTATATAGATAGGTATGACTGGAGGTGTATATTGATAGGTATGACTGGAGGTGTATATTGATAGGTATGGCTGGAGGTGTATATAGATAGGTATGGCTGGAGGTGTATATGGATAGGTATGACTGCAGGTGTATATAGATAGGTATGGCTGGAGGTGTATATAGATAGGTATGACTGGAGGTGTATATTGATAGGTATGTCTGGAGGTGGAGGTGTATATAGATAGGTATGGCTGGAGGTGTATATTGATAGGTATGTCTGGAGGTGGAGGTGTATATAGATAGGTATGACTGGAGGTGTATATTGATAGGTATGACTGGAGGTGTATATAGATAGGTATGACTGGAGGTGTATATTGATAGGTATGGCTGGAGGTGTATATTGATAGGTATGGCTGGAGGTGGAGGTGTATATAGATAGGTATGACTGGAGGTGTATATTGATAGGTATGGCTGGAGGTGGAGGTGTATATAGATAGGTGTGACTGGAGGTGTATATTGATAGGTATGACTGGAGGTGTATATTGATAGGTATGACTGGAGGTGTATATAGATAGGTATGACTGGAGGTGTATATAGATAGGTGTGACTGGAGGTGTATATTGATAGGTATGGCTGGAGGTGTATATTGATAGGTATGGCTGGAGGTGGAGGTGTATATAGATAGGTATGACTGGAGGTGTATATTGATAGGTATGACTGGAGGTGTATATTGATAGGTATGGCTGGAGGTGTATATTGATAGGTATGGCTGGAGGTGTATATTGATAGGTATGACTGGAGGTGTATATAGATAGGTATGACTGGAGGTGTATATAGATAGGTGTGACTGGAGGTGTATATTGATAGGTATGGCTGGAGGTGTATATTGATAGGTATGGCTGGAGGTGGAGGTGTATATAGATAGGTATGACTGGAGGTGTATATTGATAGGTATGACTGGAGGTGTATATTGATAGGTATGACTGGAGGTGGAGGTGTATATTGATAGGTATGACTGGAGGTGTATATAGATATGTATGACTGGAGGTGTATATTGATAGGTATGGCTGGAGGTGGAGGTGTATATAGATAGGTATGACTGGAGGTGGAGGTGTATATAGATAGGTATGACTGGAGGTGTATATAGATAGGTATGACTGGAGGTGGAGGTGTATATAGATAAGTATGACTGGAGGTGGAGGTGTATATAGATAGGTATGACTGGAGGTGTATATTGATAGGTATGACTGGAGGTGTATATAGATAGGTATGACTGGAGGTGTATATAGATAGGTATGACTGGAGGTGTATATTGATAGGTATGACTGGAGGTGTATATAGATAGGTATGACTGGAGGTGTATATAGATAGGTATGACTGGAGGTGGAGGTGTATATAGATAGGTATGACTGGAGGTGTATATTGATAGGTATGTCTGGAGGTGGAGGTGTATATAGATAGGTATGACTGGAGGTGTATATTGATAGGTATGTCTGGAGGTGTATATAGATAGGTATGACTGGAGGTGTATATAGATAGGTATGACTGGAGGTGTATATAGATAGGTATGACTGGAGGTGTATATAGATAGGTATGACTGGAGGTGGAGGTGTATATAGATAGGTATGACTGGAGGTGTATATTGATAGGTATGTCTGGAGGTGGAGGTGTATATAGATAGGTATGACTGGAGGTGTATATTGATAGGTATGTCTGGAGGTGGAAGTGTATATAGATAGGTATGACTGGAGGTGTATATTGATAGGTATGGCTGGAGGTGTATATAGATAGGTATGACTGGAGGTGTATATTGATAGGTATGACTGGAGGTGGAGGTGTATATAGATAGGTATGGCTGGAGGTGTATATTGATAGGTATGGCTGGAGGTGGAGGTGTATATAGATAGGTATGACTGGATGTGTATATTGATAGGTATGACTGGAGGTGTATATAGATAGGTATGACTGGAGGTGTATATAGATAGGTATGACTGGAGGTGTATATTGATAGGTATGGCTGGGGACCAAACAGTTAGTGAAAAGCTCTTGAAGGAGATAAAGAGTGGATTGAAAAGGGATAAAATGGTTTTGAATGCGATATAGAGAGAGAATGGAGAGTTGACGGCAGAGCGATACTGACATCAGGAGACGGAAGAGAATAATGGACATGAAAGAGTATGGTGATATAATATTTAGGGTATAGTAAGGGTATTGTCAAGTATGGCGAGGTTTCCAATGGTGTGTAGAGATCTATACTACAATACAATGATATAAATATCTAACAGACACGAAATATTTAAAAAAGGGAAACAAAAAAATGTATAGTTGTCAGCAAAATACTTACCTCTTAAGTATTTTATAACATGACGGCAATTCTAACATCTGTGTCTATATCGTGTCTTCCCAACATTCCTCGTACATTGTCCATCTGAAAAGTAGAGAAAAAAACGACGATTATTATACGGTTCAGTTTAAAGATGTTTTGAATAAGAAAAGTGAGTTCATGAGTTTTTAGTATACGAAAATTAATAGAGCGCGCACAAATTCTATCAAATAATTGCTCTTGGTAAATATTCATGAATGCGTTCCGCGTCACAAAAACATTGACTTACGAGACGTAATGGGGCAATATACGACAGTTTCTTTTATCACACTACGGTACACAATACACAAAACAAATATTTTATAGACATATTTCAATTAGTAAGCAACATTAGATATACACAGATGTTCGAAGAAAACCTCGATCAGAATTACACAAATATATTGTTGGAGTAAGCAAAACATATTCTAGGTGACAAAACCAATAAGGATATATATATATATATATATCTAAAAATAGTATAAAACTCAAGAACACCTTATTTTATATTATTTTTCAGGACAGTGTCTTAATTGACTCAATCTGCAGTCATGATTATAAACTTAGAGGTAGAATGAAGAATTCCGACATTTTCTTTCTGTGATTTTTTTAACCGGTCCTGACTACTCTACTAATGAATATTCGGCGATGACCCGGATATTACACCCAGTATCATAAAATAATTGTAAATTACATTGTCAACAAATATGTTAACATGAATACGACGTAACTAATAAACTTATATATCCAAGTCAGACTTAAGTACTTTAAAATCAGACATTTCCATGGGGCTCAAATTTCGTTGTTTTCCAAACATATATATTTCCGTTGGCAATTAATATCGTGGATAGGTCTTGATCAGAAAATCAACAGGTACTGTAACCAATGTAAACATTTATCTGTTTATCATTTCCTGGATGCATAAAGTCGTGGAGTTCGAGTATCCATGAATTAAATGAAAGTTGATCATTTACAAAAATAGATAATTTTACAGTACTTAACAGCCATAACTGTCCACTTACACCGTTACACGGAGTGATTTGATCCTTTTTTTTCGGTTTGTGGTTTAATTTTGAAACGAGATCAAGAATGGAACACTTCACACATTACGAAATCAAATTAACACTGCTTGATAAATTGATTAAAATTAAATATTATTAACACTATGAATTATGTGTCATACGCCAATTACAATCGAATTAATTAAAATACGTCAATCACAATAAAATTAATTAAAAACTGGGTTTATATTACCAGGAAGTCATTAGTGGCAGAAGATATATACTAATAATACGGCTGCGATGCTTTGTTAGAAAAATCAAATTCCTGGCCTTTATGTAATCCAACCTCAGCTCTTGACGAGGTTATCTCCCGTGATAATTCAAATCCCTCCCAGCTGGTTTAATAGGAAAATACGGTCTGGTTATATATATATCTGTATATTCGGCGGAGTAATGGACAAAGTTATCACGTATAAATCAATATCAAGTGTAGATCGATATCAAGTGGAGATCGATATCAAGTGTAGATCGATATCACGTGTAAATCGATATCACGTATAGATCGATATCAAGTGTAGATCGATATTAAGCGGAGATCGATATCAAGTGGAGATCGATATCAAGTGTAGATCGATATCAAGTGTAGATCGATATCAAGTGTAGTGTTTACGTGTACCTCTACTCCCATCGATATTCCGATAAAACGGTACAATAAGAAATAAGAACATTTTGTAGTAGAAGAACTTGATTAAAATTGGCGTCAACTAGCTCTTAATTATGTCACACTTCTAATTATTAAACTTATTGTTTATTTCTCCCCCTAGTCTATCACATGTAAAACGCCATATGACCTTGACCTTATTTTAACGATCTTTAATTTCACGGTTCAGCTGGGGCTAGTAAGTTACGTATCATGTCAGCAGTCCATGATAAGCAAGATCAAGTTGCACTAAATTCAAACAATTAGATTAACTTTAATGACGTCACAAGCGACGATGATATGGACGAAGTAGAGAAAGCTTTCCTTTGTTCATTTGTATTCTGAATATTTTTTTGAAAGATTTTATTTCCTACGCTTTTCTAAAGAAAGTTTGCACCGCCTTTATATTTCTGAAAAGTCCACACTGTGGCCTTAATATATTAAGAGGAAAACAGTAGTGGTACACATGCCGCCGCAGTCAGTGATGAGTAATATGGTGCAGGCATTATATCAATCTCTACTTTTACGGTTGGTAAGTGGCAATTCAAAGTAAGTTATCATTTTACCTCACTAAATATTGGTAATTTGTTTGTTTATTTCTTGTCTAGCTTTTTTTAAACGAAATAAACACAATGGGGACGTGTAACCCTGAGATAATTTTTTTCGTGTCTAATAATATTTTATTATTCTCAGAACCTTACAACCGATACGGATAATTGATTAAAGTTCCATACACCTGAAAGATCACGGTACAGAGAGATAAAGCCAGAGTTATGAGAGACTACCTATAACAACACCACATTAAGATAACTATAGTATTTTTCTATAAAATAAGTCCTAAGACACGACAGAACTGTTTAAACATATAATGAAAGACAGGCCGAAATAGTTATTCGAAAACAGTGTTTAAAAAGTAATTTTTTTCTGAATTGGCTTATGCACTACAATTATAATTTCTTCGCATGACAGAACAAAAAGTAGCTTACCTTCATTAGTGTGAGCGTGACATTGTATCATTATCAATCCTTACTGGGCCTGTTTACAACGGTCTACATGTGATCCTCATCTTTGACAAAATGGACAAGTTCTTTTATTATCAGTTCGGACAAATGAATGACGGTGTCGTAAGAACATAAAAGATATCTTAAACCGACGTAATATGTGAGCAAAACTTCCCTTAATTAGTAATAAAATAACAACTCGTGCTCCGAATTATAACTGTATCTCGTGTATCACCATTCTCGTGAGCACGCGACCCGGCATACGTTAAAGCACGTGTTCTATTCAAATTAGATGTCAATTAAAAACGACAAGTCAAATCCTCCATAAAATATCTCCGTTAATTACCAATTAATTACAAGTCATGTATGAGACAGATGCAGCGTCCGATGAACTGATAAGACATAGTAACAGTATTTCATTTGGGCACATTGCAATCGTATTTCATAACCGATTATTGTAACAGTATTTCATAACCGCTTATTGTAACAGTATTTTATAACCGCTTATTGTAACAGTATTTTATAACCGATTATTGTAACAGTATTTTATAACCGCTTATTGTAACAGTATTTTATAACCGCTTATTGTAACAGTATTTCATAACCGCTTATTGTAACAGTATTTCATAACCGCTTATTGTAACAGTATTTTGTAACCGCTTATTGTAACAGTATTTCATAACCGCTTATTGTAACAGTATTTCATAACCGCTTATTGTAACAGTATTTCCTAACCGCTTATTGTAACAGTATTTTATAACCGCTTATTGTAACAGTATTTTATAACCGCTTATTGTAACAGTATTTTATAACCGCTTATTGTAACAGTATTTTATAACCGCTTATTGTAACAGTATTTTATAACCGATTATTGTAACAGTATTTTATAACCGTTTATTGTAACAGTATTTTATAACCGATTATTGTAACAGTATTTTGTAACCGATTATTGTAACAGTATTTTATAACCGATTATTGTAACAGTATTTTGTAACCGATTATTGTAACAGTATTTTGTAACCGATTATTGTAACAGTATTTTGTAACCGATTATTGTAACAGTATTTCATAACCGCTTATTGTAACAGTATTTTGTAACCGATTATTGTAACAGTATTTCATAACCGCTTATTGTAACAGTATTTTATAACCGCTTATTGTAACAGTATTTTATAACCGCTTATTGTAACAGTATTTTATAATCGCTTATTGTAACACAAGTGTCCTATTATTTTTTTTCTATTCTATATTTATTTTTTTTCTTCTCTTTAAGCACATTAGAATGCGTAAAATCGGTTCGATAGAACAATGGAAAAGAAAAAACAGAAGGGCGAATATACAGTCTAGATTACAGTATAATACTATTTTTCTTTCTTTCTCTCTGGAAGACACAGCGAAATTTATTTACAAATTGTAATACTTATTAAACGAGAAAGTTTACTTTTGATTAAATCTAGTTAACATTTATCTAAATCACATAACCTTGTGCAGTTCACAATAAAAAAACTATATACCACGTCTGAGAGATGAAAGTAGATCTGCTTGAGAAATATAACACTACAAAAATCAAGGTATTCCGTCCCGGTTCTAAAGCTCAAATGTAGGCCTTGTAATGTACAGGCGACATGTGTTTGTGTCCACTGATAGCAGTATCAGTCGTGTCTATTCTACCATTCGTTAAAACGATTAAATATCTATATTATAAATACATGAAAGTATTAACACTGTAGGTTGTGAGTATTAACCAGGCGATCCGAGCGTTCAGTACAGAATTAACACTGTAGGTTGTGATATTAACCAAAGTATTAACAGTAGGTTGTGACAGAATTAACACTGTAGGTTGTGAGTATTAAGGAATCAGACAGAATTAACACTGTAGGTTGTGAGTATTAACCAGGCGATCAGAATTAACACTGATTACAGAATTAACACTGTAGGTTGTGAGTATTAATTAACCAGGCGATCAGTTACAGAATTAACACTGTAGGTTGTGAGTATTAACCAGGCGATCAGTTACAGAATTAACACTGTAGGTTGTGAGTATTACCCACGCGATCAGGTACAGAATTAACACTGTAGGTTGTGAGTATTAACCAGGCGATCAGTTACAGAATTAACACTGTAGGTTGTGAGTATTAACCAGGCGATCAGTTACAGAATTAACACTGTAGGTTGTGAGTATTAACCAGGCGATCAGTTACAGAATTAACACTGTAGGTTGTGAGTATTAACCAGGCGATCAGTTACAGAATTAACACTGTAGGTTGTGAGTATTAACCAGGCGATCAGTTACAGAATTAACACTGTAGGTTGTGAGTATTAACCAGGCGATCAGTTACAGAATTAACACTGTAGGTTGTGAGTATTAACCAGGCGATCAGTTACAGAATTAACACTGTAGGTTGTGAGTATTAACCAGGCGATCAGTTACAGAATTAACACTGTAGGTTGTGAGTATTAACCAGGCGATCAGTTACAGAATTAACACTGTAGGTTGTGAGTATTAACCAGGCGATCAGTTACAGAATTAACACTGTAGGTTGTGAGTATTAACCAGGCGATCAGTTACAGAATTAACACTGTAGGTTGTGAGTATTAACCAGGCGATCAGTTACAGAATTAACACTGTAGGTTGTGAGTATTAACCAGGCGATCAGTTACAGAATTAACACTGTAGGTTGTGAGTATTAACCAGGCGATCAGAATTAACACTGTAGGTTGTGAGTATTAACCAGGCGATCACAGAATTAACACTGTAGGTTGTGAGTATTAACCAGGCGATCAGTTACAGAATTAACACTGTAGGTTGTGAGTATTAACCAGGCGATCAGTTACAGAATTAACACTGTAGGTTGTGAGTATTAACCAGGCGATCAGTTACAGAATTAACACTGTAGGTTGTGAGTATTAACCAGGCGATCAGTTACAGAATTAACACTGTAGGTTGTGAGTATTAACCAGGCGATCAGTTACAGAATTAACACTGTAGGTTGTGAGTATTAACCAGGCGATCAGTTACAGAATTAACACTGTAGGTTGTGAGTATTACCCAGGCGATCAGTTACAGAATTAACACTGTAGGTTGTGAGTATTACCCAGGCGATCAGTTACAGAATTAACACTGTAGGTTGTGAGTATTAATTAACCAGGAGATCAGTTACAGAATTAACACTGTAGGTTGTGAGTATTAACCAGGCGATCAGTTACAGAATTAACACTGTAGGTTGTGAGTATTAACCAGGCGATCAGTTACAGAATTAACACTGTAGGTTGTGAGTATTAACCAGGCGATCAGTTACAGAATTAACACTGTAGGTTGTGAGTATTAACCAGGCGATCAGTTACAGAATTAACACTGTAGGTTGTGAGTATTAACCAGGCGATCAGTTACAGAATTAACACTGTAGGTTGTGAGTATTAACCAGGCGATCAGTTACAGAATTAACACTGTAGGTTGTGAGTATTAACCAGGCGATCAGTTACAGAATTAACACTGTAGGTTGTGAGTATTAACCAGGCGATCAGTTACAGAATTAACACTGTAGGTTGTGAGTATTAACCAGGCGATCAGTTACAGAATTAACACTGTAGGTTGTGAGTATTAACCAGGCGATCAGGTACAGAATTAACACTGTAGGTTGTGAGTATTAACCAGGCGATCAGTTACAGAATTAACACTGTAGGTTGTGAGTATTAACCAGGCGATCAGTTACAGAATTAACACTGTAGGTTGTGAGTATTAACCAGGCGATCAGGTACAGAATTAACACTGTAGGTTGTGAGTATTAACCAGGCGATCAGTTACAGAATTAACACTGTAGGTTGTGAGTATTAACCAGGCGATCAGTTACAGAATTAACACTGTAGGTTGTGAGTATTAACCAGGCGATCAGTTACAGAATTAACACTGTAGGTTGTGAGTATTAACCAGGCGATCAGTTACAGAATTAACACTGTAGGTTGTGAGTATTAACCAGGCGATCAGTTACAGAATTAACACTGTAGGTTGTGAGTATTAACCAGGCGATCAGTTACAGAATTAACACTGTAGGTTGTGAGGTAGGTTGTATTAACCAGGCGATCAGTTACAGAATTAACACTGTAGGTTGTGAGTATTAACCAGGCGATCAGTTACAGAATTAACACTGTAGGTTGTGAGTATTACTCAAGCGATCAGGTACAGAATTAACACTGTAGGTTGTGAGTATTAACCAGGCGATCAGTTACAGAATTAACACTGTAGGTTGTGAGCATAAACATGAAAGAACGAATCATAAATTGGACAAAAACTGAAAGAACGAAGGTCACAACGGGTTTAATTAAAAAAAATGATAAACGAACTTAGATAAGTATCACTACAACATGTAATACTTCAAAATAAGGTATATATTATAGTATATTAGTAAAGCAATTGATTTTAAAATCTTATATGAAATGTTTCCTGTTTATGTGTTGGATAATGACTCTAATGCATATAAAAAGCTGTACCCAAAGAGAGTCCTTAGCTTGTTGGTAAAGTTGTTCCTTATTAAAGTGGATTTATTATATGAAGTGGTTTTTAACACAAGTGTTTTAGAAATAACTTCCTGGTATAGTCTACCTATATGATTTTGTACACAAGGATGTAAACACTCTCTTGTGCTGCAACAAATCCCAAACACAGATAAATCGAGGAAAAATTTGAAATACAAAAGAAACTTGTTAAGACAAACGATAAAATGGCATGCGGTTCACAGGGAGCCTTGAATGTTTCTAAAGAATAATTTAGATGTATAATTACCTGTAAGTTATATCTACAGTATCTGTCCTACGTTCAAAACAACTTCCGTCATTGTGTTCCAATGCCAGCAATAGTCAAATAACTCTCTGCTTTCGTTTTAAAGCGTCAGAGGCCGTAAAAGGTCATTAAGGATTTTCGTAACATCTGTTAAAATCTGGATAACTTAATCATGTACAGATTATTACTAGCGTGCATCGACCGCTCTCGTGCACGATTTCAGATTGCATGTCCATGTATTATAGGCACATGACTATATAATGATCGGAGCGCACTACAAAAAAAGGGTACG